GTACTGATATTACACCAGTTCCCTCAGCTTTTCATTGGCTAGACATCTATGTACGTATTTAAATTCCTGCCCAAGTTAGTCAATCAGGTCTAAGACGCAACATTCACAACAGAACAAATCCTCCCACTGTACCCCTTTGAGAAGTTATTGGGCAGCCGCAGAAGCATCTTGAGGCAGGCAGTCTGTTGATAACGAGCAAGTCAAAAAATGCCTATTGATAACCAAGCACCCACTGTCTCTTGATGATGTCATACATAGAGTAAACGCGTTTTGAGCAGAGGATAAAAGAACTGGAAAATGTCAACATTGCAGAAAACGTGACATGGAAAAAAAACATACATTAGATGACATCAGCAAATGAGTATGTTGCGGTATGTTTAGGTGTTTTTAAAAACGCCAAGCTTGACTTCAACGACGCTTGCCTAGTGCTCTACATTGCAGGCGAGCAAACATTAGCTCCGAAACGTGCTCTTAAAAAGGCTACATGACATGAGATGACGTTTCAATGTTAGCTCCAATATCGAGGCCGAATTGAAGGACCGGTCTGTTTGCTTCACATACGATAATATTTGGCTTTCATTTGAGCAAAATTGCTTCACGGACGAGGGCGTGGACGGTATTTTAGTGTAGGTTCGAAGCGAGTTCGGTGTTCTGATGCGCAAAGGTGACGTGGAGGGTGATGCTTCGGTCACATTTAGTTCAATACTTGCTGAAGAGGACGTAAGGCAATAGCAGAAAAAAACAGGTATGACATTTAAGTGCAAAAACATGGCGAAACTTCTATGCGCATTTTAAGGGATCGCAAGGATTAAATGATAATCATCAGACATAGAATAAAGAGCAGTGTAAATAAAAAGCGTGCTCTAATAATGGCAACACTGCATTCAAATATTACACACGCACTGACGATAATTTGTACGATTTGAATCTTTGTTTTAATCGTCACGTTTGGTACTAAAAGTGCCCGCAGAGCAACTTTTTTCCCGTCAGTGCACGCACGGACGGGGATACATGTGGAGACTGAGTTAGCGATTAGCATTAGCAACATGCCACTGTTCTCGAATGTGCGCATGTCCACTGTCTTGCGTCAACTCGCCCGTGTTTTTCTTTTTAACTTTTTGTGTGCGGGCTAAGTGTTCTCGTTTAACAGGGTCCCGAGCGCCGAATCGCTTCTGAGTTAACCCAAAATTGCAAAGCAATCTCCCAGCTTCCTAGTGAAATGTGGAGCGGTGTAGTGAGGATGCTAAGTGGCATGCTAACGTCGGAGTGAGTTTACCTCGAAGAAATGAGAGCAGATACGTCACCCGTGGCTCCAGAAAGTGAGTTTGGGGGGTGGGAAAAGTACGGCAAAACTGTAGACTGTTTGCCACTACTCTGTGCCACGGTGCGGGGTTGGAGAATCTGTCCCAGCCGCCGCCTTGTAACATCCCCTTTCAGCGCGGAGGCGTGTTCAATTGCCCGCGTGTGCGGTTGAGCTCCCCACGATGCGTGACGTCAGATATATCCACCTTCGCATGCGTACAAGTGAATGCATTTTTTTAACCGCTGCCATGGAGACGGACTCGATGGTCATTTGACATAAAATCCAGACCACCACTTTGACAAGAAGTAAATAAAAATGTAAAATAATAATAATAAAATGGAGGGAAAAAATACGCCCCTCCCTGAGTTGTCACTTTATCGTGGTGGATGGGTTTGTGTATCCCAATGATCCTAAGGGACAACACAGGCACACCCTGGAGATAAAATGTTTCCCCGGCTGGCCGAGGAACACCTTGGGATTCCCCCGGCAGAGTTGGATGAAATGGCTCGGGAGAGGCAAGTCTCAGCTTCCCTGCTTAAGCTGCAGCGCCTGTGACCCAACTCCGTATGGGGGAGGGGAGTGTAATGGAACGATGGATAGATAAGAAAAAAAAAGTTTTTTAAATTAATGATATAAATTGGTTTGAAAACATACAAAATAAATTACAATTAGCACCTGCAAAAAATTGGTATTACAATAAACCTAAGGACTTTATTGGGCCACGGCACAAATTTACATGAGAAGAATCTAAACAAAAATGTCCGACAGACTGAAATGATGATCTCGTCTTAATTTACTCACAAATGGACTTACTCTGAGTGAAATCTGGGCCTGTTTTGTTCTACAGGTCGATACAAGGTTTAATTGTACCTTCTGCCATCTGGTGGAAGAGCATCTAATTGTTCTGCTATACCTCCCTGGTTTTGACAGATGAACCAAGGTGTAAAAATTGTAGTGAATACACCATTATTTTCAGACCAATAATGGGAAATTGGCATACCTGATGAGCCGTAGCCCCTTTTTTCAATGCATATTAGCATCTTCACAATCAAACTGCAGCACACAGGTAAAACAACAGCACTTTTTAGTGTGTGGTTACATTTTATGTGGTGTACTAGTTAAAGGTTGACTAGTGTAGATACTGAGAGGGCAGAAATTGGCCATCACGCAGAAACGTAACGCTTGTATGCTGCAAAACAAGAAACGCATTCTGTATTTGTCTACAGTCTTGGCCCAAACAAATCAACTCTAACAGTGTTCAAATGGTTGTCATTGAAAGTTATGACCACTTGTGCATTCATCTCATTGTCAGATTGAGTTAAATTCCTCATGCACACAATCATTGCGTTGCACGGGACCAATGGACAAGGTCACACGAAAGTGAATGTGGAAACATCTCCCCACGTACGCTGAGAAGAAAGTTAAACAAAGACTGCCACTCTGTTACCATAAAAAGTGAGGGTTAGGTGACCGGGAGGGATTTGATTTGAATTGCTGAAAGTGGGTCATTGGCCATACGGCTCAGTAGTTCCTTTTCCAAGCCTGCTTGGGATTGCCCCGCGGTGATCCAGGAGAGCCCTATATTTAAAAGCTTGCACTAAGTCTTGTTTTTGTTAGCATCGGGGGGGCTAAGCGAGGGGAGCTATTACCGGAGTGGCCGTGGAACCGCTGAAACTCGGATCGGAACTTCCTACCTCTCCGGGCCCAGTCCCGCCTGAATCCGGGTGGCGCTGTAACGCTGTGCCGCAGTCTCGTGCCGGACAAAGTGCTCCCCTCGGGTGTGCGCGTCTCCCGACATCCTCCTCCGCTCTACCTGTTGGCCCTCGTAGATGTCCATCTCCGCTTCGACTTAGACGTTTGACTCCTTTGCAAACTGTAGACTACATTGAGAATTCCACGTGTGAGAACCTTGAAAGTTGTTGACCAAATATGCTTATCTGGCAGCAGCAGTCGATGTTCCCATGCATGGAGGACTCACAGGATGCACCTGCCTTGAAAGGAGACAACAGGCGTGTCAGCGGGGGGCGTCGCCAAGGAGATTCTCCCAGAGAGCGGGTGTCACCGTGGTAATGTTAAGCCAGCGCCACGTCACCGGCCAGAGTTGGGAGTTGGCGTAACGGGGAAGCGGGACAAAGCAAAGCCAGGCCCTGGAGCAAAGAGAGCGGGGACAGCAAAGTGTGAGGCCATGTAATCCAGACAAAGAGGATTTCACTGTGAAGATGAGCATTTTTTTTTCGACAGCGATGCCTATATGCAGTCACATGACCCCCTCCCCAGCTGACTTCACTTCCAAACTTCAAACAACCGACATGTGCACCGTACACATGATGTGTTATTCTTACTTTATCACGCACTTTACTACGACTACCCGCAGGTGACGGTGACAGTTAAGATGGAAAATCCTCTTTAAGCCCTTCACCACATGCTAACGTATCAAACCTGCCTGGTCATCTGACATGAAAGGCAGGACATCACAGGCAGGCTGAATGGTGGACGAGCCGGCTTCAATGAAACCGGTACAGACGAGAGCACGCGCATGCTCTAATAGCTGTCATGTGCGCGCGGTGCGGATGCAGTCACGAGGAGCTAAGCCGACAAACCTATAACTAAGTGTTACATTCATTGAGTGTGTTAGCGCTCTCTTTCTCTCTCTCTCTTTCTTTCTCTCTCCCTCTCTCTGACCTTGACAGGAGTGCGTGGATGACTGTTACATTGCCCTCTGTTGGAAATAGCATGCCATTACATCTCGAGTCATGATTGGGAGCCATTGACACTGTAATTCAATTCAAAGTTCAATTATAAGTGCTACCCCTGAACATTTTACTGACATGCAAACTGAAGTGCAGTATATTTGGTGCCTCGTGGCTGGGTCATTCCCGTGAAAGACATGAGGTTCTAATTTGTGCTCCTTTAGATTTTCAGTCTGAATGCTTGGCCATCCTCCAGCTGCTGCTGAGAAACTTCTGGCTGAAGTTTCACAAAGCCTTCTTGCGCAACTTCTCTCTCCGCCTCAGTTTTTTTTTTTTGACGTTATAATGAAAGCGTATGACAGGAAGTGGAGAGAACCGTTCTCGAGTTGTTTTTAATCCCGAGTGCCACAATCGAAGTTATACTTTTGTGCTGAGTAAATAGACTATACAATACAATACAGTAGTTCATATAATGATTTATGGTGCCTTTACTGTATGAACATGTAAAAATGTCACCCTAAAGACGAACTTGTGGAAAAATAATTTTAAAAAACTGAAAATATGACGAGTATCCATACGGTATGTTTCAATAGATGTGTTTTTGTACATTATATGTTAATACAATGAATAAACTAAACTCTTGAAGAGGTCAGAGAAGTCTAGTTAGTTGTCACAGGCTAAACTGTACGCATGAACACATTTTACTTTTAAAAGGGGCTTATTGAAGTAAAACTCAAAGGGCCCAGTGTTTCCTCCAACACCGTGACTACCTCGGAGGGGCTAATAATGACCAGTCTGTGTGTGGTGGAGAATTAGCCACAGCCGATTTTTTGGGGGAAGTCCACAACGTACACGAGCGTCAGAATAAATAAACTGCTCCCTTTCAACAAGTCGCTTCAGTAAATGTCTGGATTGTAAACAGGCTTGAGCAAGGAGATTATGGTTAGTGATATATAGAAATGTTCTGGTATGCTTACTATTAGCTTTATGCAGCAGAGGAGGGTGCAAACCGTGATTACTTCAAAATAATAATAGTAATAAATAGTCATTTTCCTTGAACCGGAAACAACAGCCTATCTGCTTCCCTCTACCACGCTCCCGACCTACCGGCCAACGAACGAGATGCGGGCAGAAGATGGGAGCACAGCACTTCATTGATTAACACTTTTATGTAAACGACAATTCCAAAGCCACTTTCATTCCGTAATAACTCAGTAGCTGCGTAGAACCTTAACAGGTCCCGACTTGTTGTTGGAAACCTTCGGCAGTCTTCGCGACACGCAAAGAAACAAGCCACACAGTGAGTTCTTGCCACGTTATTAACCCGTGGTAAACATTTGCATGTTTTTAAGTGACAAAAAGGAGGTGAAATGTCACGAGAATTCGCGCGGTTCGTCCTTTTTTTTGTAGTTTATGTTCGCGTTGTACGAATTTGGTGCGTTCTGGCTGCTGCTGCTACGTTCGTGTGCTTTCGTTGATCGGCACTCTCGCCGTCATTCGGCTCGTTGTCCGCGATGTGATTTACAACTTGAGTGGCGAGTATACGCTTGGCGAGATGGAGAAAATCGCGTTTCATTCAAACGAAAACAACGTCAAATGGTTTAGGTCGATTTATCAACTTCATGTACGTCGTCAAACGTGTATTGGCTGTAACAGGAAGTGAATTGCGTCTAGTTCTCGTGCTATTTTTGGCATTTACTAAAATGTTGAACGCTCCATTAATGACATTCTTCCTACTACTAAAGTCGCACATAAGTTTTGACTTTTTGAATATATATAAAATGCGTAAATGTGCGTGTGGATATTAAATTGTATATTCCTTATGACAGGGTTGTTGTTGCTCACCTGGTGCAATGGTTCCAGCTGTTCTGAGGCTCTACTTCTTCGGGACCGCCGTGAGCATCTTCGCCTTCATTTTCAGCCTGGCCGACTCGGTTGGCGGCCTGATGTACGTCCAAGACTGCCGCTGGATGCTGGAGATGGAGAGGTGTCCCGTGCCGAAGCCTCATGGAGGGTCTTTGGCGACCACGCACGTGGACTGATGAGACGAGGGGGCAAAATGTCAGCTGGCTGCACTTTGTGGAACTGTGGCATCTTTAAAAAAAATGCAAAAGGAGAGCACTACTGAAATTTGCTAAGCCAAAGACACAACTGTAACATGCAGGCGTTGAGAAAGTGGCTGCAAGCAGCATGGGGGAATGATTTCAAGATTAATATTTTGGTGTGTAATAGCCTCATAATTAAAACAAACTAATGCTAACTGAAAAGGCTGGCCAACCTTCCAATTGTGTGTGCATCTTTAAAATTTATGCCTGTGATGACAAATCTTGGCAGGCAGCAACATCATCACATATTAAAATGAATGGTAAATGTGTGAAATCTAAAAGCCAACAAAGCCGTCAGAAACGTAGCACAACAGGTGATTTTATTCTTAACCTCTTATTGCTTTGACTTCTTGTTCATGTTTGGCTTTGAGTATTTCTCTCCTTTTGGGGAATAAATATCCTTCCAATTGAAACTTGACCTCATATTGCATATAAATAAGTACTGTTTGAGTAAAGATGTCACAAACCTGTTTAAAGAGCTGGATCATTAGCCAATGGCAACTGTATTCTATCTCGAACGTTTATCTCTTTTGGAAGTTAAAATATGACATCAACAAAAGGACATTTTTAAACAAAAAAAAAAAGTAAATTCCGCATAAACAGCACCCTCGTGTGGACACTCATGTCTAATACACTTACAACAAACAACGGTGGTAATGAGCCTGCGAAAGCCGAAACTTGCTAAAATAGTTCTTCAGCGCGTGCATTGTTCACGATTACTGCTCTGTTTCAAAAGTAAACGCTCTCTCTCTCTGGTGGAGCCCACTTGTGCGTCGTCTGAGGTCACACGGGGCCCTTCCGTGCAAAATGGCCCCCAGGGTAAGTGCGACATGAGCGGGATGCGGGCTCAACACCTGCGCCGGCAGTGGACGCAGCACTTTTCGTGTTAATGGGCCGTCCCCTCCCCACTCCCACACACCTGCCCCTGCTGCCTCTCCCCTGCCACTCGGAGCACACGCATCCCGCCCGCGGACACCTCCACTGGGGCTCCCGAGCGTTTGCGGCACCGGTCATGATCTGGAAGCGAGTCGTGGCTCTCTGCGTTCTGCTCCAATTCGGGGCCGAGGCGCGCACTCGCCCGCGGAGGGGCGCCGCTCCCTCCGCGGGCGCGTCCAGGGCTTCCAGGGGTCCTGCCTTCGACTCGTGTCAGGTCAGCCTGACCCCTCTCGAGCATCGAGTCCTAGGCGACAACACCCACGAGGTGAGGAGTTGCTTTAGCACCTTGGTTTTTCCGAATGAGGCCAAGGGGGTTCTCAAATTAAGGGTCTCGGTCTATTTTGTCGGTCTATTTTGTGATCCTTTGTTTTAACTGGGTCGAGTCAAATTGTGTAAAATCATTAAATTGGAAATTTCTCAAATGCATGCATGTAATAAATGATGTTTAACCCTTACTTTATAGGCACTGGTGCGTATACAGTGCACAAAATGAATCAAGTCTCACTTTTTGAATACAGGCTAATACGGAAATAGCCCATGAGATTCAAATTTATTGACATACACTTTGACAATGTGGTGGCAACAGATAATAAAATCACTGATCAGTAAACATCCATTAATTTGAAGTAATGAGGATACGCAAAGCAAAAGAATGCTAATAAGCTAAAGTCGTTTTTTTTTTTTTTTTTTTAATATTCAGTTAGACAGCTAATTCGGTGTGGTTTTGCTTTCAGACAGGATTTAACGGTGATGACGGCTCCTATGTGATTCTCACGTGGGTCGGCGATGGCACTGGGGTGAGTTTGGCAACAAAACAACAAAACTACATGAACAACTATATACTAAACTAGCTCCATCTTTCCAGGTGATCTTGGTGTTGTCCACAATCAGTGCTCCCATCGACACGTTCCTTGAAGGAGGCTCCTCGCGCCTTTACCGAAGGTGAGTTGCGAATGATTACAATACGCCATGCTTAGCAGCAACATTGTTGTCCAATCCCATCTTCCTTTCCAGTACGGATTACGGCAAGTCCTTCCGCGACATTTCGCACAGCATCAACCACACATTCATCAAAGAGGAGTTTGGAGTCAGCGTGGGACCAGGAAGTTCTGTAAGTTGGACGCCGCGCGCTAGCAGAAGTCTAGTTAATGCTAGCATGTTTGCCGTGGCAATGTTAGCGTTGCTATTCAATGGGAACCATGTTCCTTTAAAGAAAATGGTGCAGTATTTGTTGTTTTGGGATGAAATTGTTAGGACAAGGACAATATCTTAGCTTGATTGGTTAGGAGAAGTCACATGGTTCTTTGACATGGAGGCCCACAAAAATGTTTCTCATTGTCCCACACAGGGCATTCATTTTTTTGACTGGTGCAATTATACACCCAAAAATGGTTCTCGAATATTATACCGAATTTTTCAACGAGTGACATACCGATGGAGTAGTTCACAAATTTGTTGGTCGTTTAAGCAACCGTGATTCGCATAACCACACGTACAATTGAAACAGGTGATATTAACCGCCGACACACCCGTGGTGGACCATCCGGGCGGCATCATTTTCACCTCGACAGACGCCGGTGCCACCTTTCGCTTCATCCAGCTTCCCTTCCACCTGGCGCAGCCCATCACCTACCACTTCCTCAACCCCGACTTGCTGGTGGCGCTGAGCATCGAGGTGGGTCACGCACACACACAGACATCATGTTTGATCTACTAGGTAATGTTATTGCAAGCCCATGTCACGCCTTTGGTCAAAGAGGGTAAACACAGCCAAGTGTGTTCCTGTTCCTGACTCGCAGGGTGCTCTGTGGCTGACGCTGGACTTTGGCGCCACGTGGACAAAAGTGCATGATGGAGTGCATTCTTTCTCATGGTGAGAAACAACAGGAAGTGACTCACACAAAAGCACAGCCTCAAAGACACCTTGTCAAAACACAAGACACCCTTTCGAGCTTGGATTCCTATTGAATGCTGTTCAAGTCTAAGTTTTTGACTCTTTCTTTTAGGGGAGCTGGCATCAATTTGTTCTTCAGTTGCAGCAAAGCAGACACAAGTAAGAGTACAAAATGGCAGCTGTAATTAATTTATCCGATCCAATCGGATCTTTACAATTGTTTTCCTGAGTGTCGATCAAATCAAGACTAGCACTTGCTGTCGTCGTAGTGGATGCGGAGGAGAGGGGCGATCTGCAGCTGAAGAGGACCAAAGACCTCGGCAAGACCTTCACCACCATCCACGAGGATGTCTACAGTTTTGGCTACATCGGAACTTTTCTCTTCTTCTCAGTCATGGAAGACACGGTGAGAGTTCTTCAAAGAACACGCCGTTTAAAGGCCACGCCGTCGGATGACAATTTGCGTTATTTTACTCACAGCGATCTCCGAGGGTCATGTATTTTTCCTCCGACCAAGGAGACACCTTCAATCGAGCGCTACTCCCGTCGGCTTCAACCGAACAGGTGAGAATCTCTTCACTAAAACATATTTATAAGCTTGTTTCAGTTGCGACTGAGTTAAAAAGAAGTCCGGTTCGGCACGTAAGGCAAACATCGCTACTGACTAACACAATCGCGCAATTTTTTTCTTTTCAAACCGCAGTTATGTAGCTAATTGTAGCGGTTGTTCAAACTGAAGCCACAATTCCAATGATGACTTTTTCCTTTTCAACAGTCAGTGGCAGATTTAAAAAAAAATACACCCACAAACTTTCTCTCTCCTGTAAATTCGTAAATTAGACGAGCCAAGAGTGAAATTAGTCATCATCCATTTGTGTGCGTTTGCAGTTTTACTCCATCTTGGACGGGGACGAGGACATGCTCTTTATGCACGTGGACAACCCGGGAGGTAAAACCAGAGATGAAAATAACTAAAATCGTGGCACAAACACACCGTTTTTTTTTTTTTTTTGCTTTGTTGTAATGGAAATACTTGACAGCAAAGACTGAACTGGTTTCACGAGTTCTGGCTGTTGCTGACAAATCATTCCATCATACTCACTGTGTTTGCGCACACCATGCCAGCTGGACGGTGTTTTCTTTCCCTTCACCCTCTCTACGTTCCCATAAAAAGATTAAAAAAAATGTTTACCCCTTTTTAAAAGCCATGTCACATAAACAGCTGCAATTCCTTCCTTTAAAAAAAAAAATCCTTGAGTTGACAGGACTTCAGATAAGTCGGGGAGATGGGGGGGGAGGCTTTATCTTTTGTCAGCTGCAGATTGGCGAGAGATTCGGGTTGCGCGCCGCAAATGGCTGACGAGCCTATCTTGAGATCAGGGTGTATCACAAGAACACACACAAACACACTCCCAATGTGTTTGTCGCCAATTTCAGATGACCTTGTCCTTGCCGTGTGTTTCTTATTTAATTTAATTTTGGGGCTGTCAGTGGAAACAGACAAAAGTCTTTCAAAATCAATGTCAATTCCTATTAGACACCTACTTTGGGACCATGTACACATCAGATGACCGCGGCATCCTTTTCTCCAAATCGCTCGAGCGCCACTTGTTCGACGGGCAGCGGAAGAGCGATTTCCGGAACATCACATCGCTCCGCGGCGTGTACCTCACCAATAAACTGGACAAAGGTGTGCTCGTCCGTTCCCGTGTGTCAGGTTGAACACACGGGTGAAAGAGATGATCACGTTTTCAATTGTGTGTTTCAGATGGAAGGATCAGATCGGTCATTTCATTCAACCGGGGAGGAACGTGGCGACAGCTTTCCAAACCTCAGAATGTGGAATGTGGGGAGAAAGTGAAGAATGTGTGTGCTCAATGCGATTCAAACGCGTATTATGTGCGTGAATATATATTTGCTTAACCTATGGCCGCCTTCAGCAGTGCAACCTTCATATTCACGGAGAACACAGTCGCATCAATCATATCGTGCCGATGCTGCTCATGTCCGATCCCACGGCGGTTGGTCTGGTCATCGCGCATGGTAACAGTCGCTACTTTTATCTCCCGAGGTGCCGTTTTAAATGGTTTATCAAACTCTCTCATGCTTTAGGTTCGGTGGGTGATTGCCTGTCGTCATGGCAGCATCCAGATGTATTTGTTTCCTCTGATGGGGGTTACAACTGGAGGGGCACGCTGAGGGGTCCCCATCATTACAGCATCCTGGACTCTGGCGGGCTCATCGTAGCCGTGGAGGCACGGCGGGAAGGACAGGTCAAGACAATCAAGTACGGAACAAATAGCAGCTCTTCTGGTCGTCTTTCGTTGTTGCTTTTCGGTCTCTATTTTCTCCTTGTTTATCCACTTCCTGTTGTGCCTCAGGTTCTCAACCGACGAAGGCCAGTGCTGGAAGTCGTACAACTTCACCGAGCAGCCCTTCTTCTTCGCCGGCCTGTCTTCCGAGCCGGGCACCAAGGCCATGAGCGTCAGCGTATGGGGCTTCCGTCCTGAGGATGACGACCAGCCCATGTGGGTGGCGGTCACCATTGACTTCCAGAGCCTCATCACGAGAGAATGTAAGTTCTCGTTGGAAATATATCAAGTTAACCCCTTGGCCTAATCCTCCCTCAATCGAGACGACATTCTGATGTCGTTCCTTCAGGTAATGACCAGGATTATGAGGAGTGGTTGGCGCACTCAACCGGGGGAGAAGGTTTGGAGAGGGACGGCTGCGTCCTGGGTGTCAAGGAGACATACCGGAGACGGAAGAAACAAGCCGTGTGCCGGAATGGTCGCGGCTATGTCACGGTAAAGACGGAAATTCCCTGTCTGTGCACCAGGGAAGATTTTTTGTGGTGAGAACAGCAAATCAAGACCTCATGATCAATTGAGCCGTCGTTCTAAACAAACCCTTTGAAACAGTGACTACGGCTATCAGCAGCAAGTGAACACATCGGACTGCGTGCCGCGGCCTGACATGCACAACAAAACCTTGGAGATGTGCCTGAATGGAGAAGAGGACGAGCTCCTGACGGCAGGATATCGCAAGGTCCCGAGTGACCGCTGTGAGGGGGGATTTTCTTCTCAGTTGGCAGGCCAGACTATCATCAGACCCTGTGGTGTCAAACCCAGCCCCGATTCACCTGTCGCTCACGCCACTGCACCAGTGACACACTTTGACACGCCAGTGAGTAGCTTTGACATCCCACAAAATCTTCCTCGAATAGTTTTCAAGCTTGTTTTGGGTGTTTTCAGCGAGAGAGGATGGTGCTGATACTGGTGTGCGCTGGCGCGGGCATCATCGTCCTGGCCGCTGTCATTTCGGCTCTGGTCGCCATCAGGAGAGGGGTTTATCAATCTAGGTGAGCCAAGCAGGTGCCTATTGGGAAGACTTCAGAGGCTTTTCAGAGGATTTCGGCTGATTGTTGTGTCACACTGTCCTCCTGCAGGGCGCCAGAATATCGTTTCTCCAATCTCCAGATTCAAGATGACCGCAATGGAGCCACGGGGGATCGTGAAAGTGCCAACAGCAGCAATGGATCGGCATGTCCGCAGGACTCAGATAATGTAATAACTACTCACATCAATTGAGTATTTTTTTGTTCTAATTTTGGAAACAAATTTTAACGACAATCCTGTTTTTTTTCCAGCAAAATCTTCTACAGTAAAACAGTTTTTGAACCGGCCCGAGAGCGGAGTTGAAGAGCAACGATAAAATGAAATTACGTTATTTATTGACATTCATTTGCTCGAATTGGTTTTATGCAACCTTGATTTGTACATTTTTTATTTGAATATTAAAATGCATACATGTTGATAGTACTCGTTTTATATTGCTTTTTTTTATACAAATGACTGAAAAATGGGCTCATGTTTCTTGCTTTTTGTGATTGAAAGCTTTGCTTGTAATTGAGTAGAAAACCATATGGGGGCGCTAAACTGTAAAAGACCTCTTGAGTGAGCGAAGAATAGCAATTCAGGAAGTAGGAAAAGATCATCTCTTGTGAAGATAACTCACTATGACACTGAAATACGAAAACAAATAAGCTTCCAAGCCAGTAATCCACCTATATTTTATCACATTTACCGCAATAACTTGTTGGTTGGTTTGTGTTTTCAACACGAATAAACACAGAATAGTATTACCCTGCCGTCACCGCCTCTTCTTTTTTCCCCCCGTGTCAAGTGTGAGCGCTCTGTTCGACGATAGCAGTTCAGGTTTCACTTCTGAACTTGACAGTCGCGACGTCTGCTCGTTACACCCGTTATTCATCAAACAGGAATTTTAGTCGCTGTAAGTTCAATTTTTTTAAGATGCAAATATTGTCATCAGGTTTGATGGCAGCGTTTACTGACTCCGGTGAGAAAGAACGTAACGAGGTAGCGTCATTTCTGTCCGAAGGTACCAACAGTCGTCTTAGTAATAAAACAATTATTTGATTGTGTTGTATTATCAAATACGAAAAGTTAAAAATGGTGAAGACAAACTGTTCGTGTGGTTTTAATGAAATTAGTAGCGTTCAAGTGGCACTCGGAAAGATGTTACTTTGTATCAAAGTTTGGGTGGCAGCGAGCCAATCGGAAGTTCTCCTTGGAAAAACGTGAACAACTACCTGCTGCTTAGTATTCAGATTTCTCCCATATTATTTTTAAATAGCTGTGTGCTTTTGTTGGGCGTTTCAGAGTGGCTGAACTTGACTGAATATGGTGCGAACTGGAGGTAAAACCCCAAGCGTATTTTTTTAAAAACAATAACATCTGGGATATCTGATGTTCCAGAAGGGGACTCTGACATCATCCTCAAATGTGGTTCTTTCCTCAGGCGTTTTGAAGATGGCAGCGATGATCTCCACCTTCATCCTCGCCATCTATCTGGCGTTCCATCTGCTGGAGATAAGGGTGGATTTCCGGCAGGGAAGCATGATGAGTGAGTGATGAGGAGCAGAGAGGCTGGCGATGCAAAATGCCAAATTCACTCTAACTATGTCTTGTTTTTTGTGTCTTTTTAGGCAGATCGGTTTCCATAAAAGACGGATGTAAGTATATATCGTGCAGTTCGAATGCCTCCCGTTTGGCCACTGAAAAATCAGGGGGAAAATCTGTGTTCACCGAGCAGCCAAACCAGTTGGGCACAAATGTGGACTTTCCAAGGCGTGTCCCGTCGGTCAGTTTGCCTTCAAGATGGCGAGTGGCGCAGCCAGCGTGGTTGGGCCCAAAATGTGCCTGGAGGACAAAATGTAGGAGATTTTACGACTTTGCTTTGATTGTATACGCGAGACAGCGCCCATCTTTGTGTTTGATGAAGGTGTAGGAACGAGCGGGAAGTCAAATAAAGTTCCTGGAGAATATGGGCGTGTCCTCTCCTGCACACGTCAATAGCTCCTCTGCCCTCTTACATTTTCTTAGGCTCATGAGCGCCGTGAAGAATAACGTGGGACGAGGACTCAACATTGCTCTTGTCAATGGTAATGGCACGCCTTCATGTTTAAGGGATCATCCGGCCTGGATGGTCCATTTTTCACGAACAAGCTCATAATCGTTGGTTCGCTCATAATCTTTGGTACGCTCCAGCTCCATGCGATGTTGAAATTGAAAATATTTTGTCTCGCATTTCATCTGTTGAGCACACAAAACAACCGCCTTTGTTATTTTGTGCCATTTTTTTATGGTTCTCTTCATGGCGGAGCATCCTGATTTAACTTCTCATTCTTTGCCGCTACACAGGAAGAACAGGAGAGCTGAACAAAACTGACTTCTTCGACATGTGGGCAGGAAGTGAGCATCATATTACTTTCGAGATAAAAACAGCAGCACTGCACAGTGCGTCACGTGTCACTGTATTCCATCTTAGACGTGGCTCCCCTCATCCAATTCCTGAAGGAAATCGAGGAGGGGACAGTGGTCATGATGGCATCCTTCGATGATCCAGCCACCAAGTTGGGACCCTGACCGTCTTCACGCGCATGAATTCCCTCCAGCCTTGAACTGACCATCTTTTTTTTTTTTCTTTTTTCCTCCCAGGCTCAACAACGAAGCACGGAAGCTGATCGCTGACCTGGGAAGCTCGGCCGTCAACAATTTAGGATTCCGGGATAACTGGATCTTTGTCGGAGGGAAAGGGATCAAGACCAAGAGTCCATTTGAGCAGGTAGTGTGCGCCGGCAGCCATGTTATTCCAAGTTTGTCTTTGATGAAAGGAAGATGGCCGAAGTTGGGCGTTTTGTTGGATTCTGGTCTCGAAAAAAAGAAATCTCAAGTCCCAGACGCTTAATTTTTTTTTTCTGAGAAGTATACTCTATTATTTAAATACATACCCAAAGCAACAGGTGGCACTATAATCCCGAAACGAACGAAAAGCTATGACAATGCTAAAGTTGACGTGATGGAGCAATCAAGTTAGTTTGACCATCGTTTGTTGCAGCACATCAAAAACAAAGCAGACACCAACAAGTTTGAGGGCTGGCCGGAGGTCCTCGAAATGGAAGGCTGCATTCCTCGCAGGGAGGACTGACCCCCCCTGTCGGAGACTCCTCATCTGAGACGAGCCACCGTTTTCCGTCATGTCAGACTGTTTACCGCCGACAATCTTTGAAAGGGCTCGCGGTGGGACAGCACGCAGGTGGAGCCCACCAAAAAGAAGGGACTTATCTGCTGTAATACCGTCACACCTTAAGCTTCAAAAAGTTGTATTATTATTATGATTGTTCTTGCACTGTCTGCTCTGCCTGCTAATCCGCCTTGACCGTGAACCAAAGTGTACCAACTTTCCACTGTGAACTATGTAAATATAATTTGTTTAGGAGGGTTCAAACTGATTTTACTGATTTATTTTTTAAATAATAATAATAATAATAAATCTGGTTTGTTATTGCTGGACTGTTTCCTGAACGGTTCATGATTAACATGGAGTACTTAGAACATCATTGGATATTACTGTAGGTGTAAATGCCATTTATGCTTTGGTAATCATTGCCATGTCGCTTTATCAGCGAGCAGTTAAAAAAAAAAAAGGCACAGAAGAAATCACTCTCAGTCGTGACTTTTGCTCCAAATGAGCATGAATAACACGCCGACTATTTTTTCCCATGCAAACATTTGAAACCGAACCCTTTAACATTGGTTTATTCACGTTTGTCGTTAGAATTCAATTTGTTTCGGCTTCCGATAGGAATGTAAGAGCTCGAAATGTCCGCTAGATGGCAGCAAAATTACATGATCGGATGCAGCAGAAAAGCGCGCTTCCTTTTACGATTTGACCGAAAGGGGTCGCTAAAGTCGCATTTATCTCTTAGCTTTGGTCACATCCTCAACAAAGTCGTTTTTTTTCCAACCCAAATTAACATTTACCTTCACGTAGATGTCACACCTAACTACAATATATCTCTGTTTGGATTTGACGAAATATACATATGGATGCAGTTAGAGGGGACATTTGAAGAAAACGGGTTCACATTTTGAGCATTGCATCATTTACGTGCAATATCGCCAGTGGAGACTTTCATCTCTCTCCTCTTTCATCCATACCTGCTTCAAACAACAAGGCCTTGATGTTCTATGTCATGCGCTCTATTCTATTGGTGTTATTTTATGCAAAATGCTCTGTAACGTGCTTTGTTCCGGCTGCAGCTGCCGTGAAAGCGCTCTGTCATGGCACCGGTGCACATCGACAACTTACTGTTTTGCAACTGTGTGCCCGAGGCGGGCTCCTCTGAGAGCAATCACACCTATGTAAGCGCGAGTGGCCTTACGTAAGACATGCGAGGTGATGCATTATGGATGAACATCTCCGCTTGCATAAAGCCCGTGATGATGTGCCGCGTGAGGGCAAAGCGAGCGTACAAAGATGAGGGCGCTTCTCCTTCCTCCACCCTCCTCTGCCTGCGAAAACAAAGCTGGCTCTCACACAAGAGTTCAGCCGAGGTTTGAACCCTCACCTTTGGACTCTGACCTGAAGGGCCAACTTCATGCCGCAGGAACGGGACCAAAACAAAGCTCCACACCTGCCAGCAAACGTCACCACCCTGAACTAAATGGCATTTCCAAACACAAATTTATTTTTACCACAACCGCCACCAGTTTGTTGTTTCGCCACATACCTTTCTTGCATGTCCAATTCGTTTTTCTCAAATTGAGATTTATTTTATTTTTGTAGTACAACTTTTGGCCAGAGGTGTCTAAGTCATAAGTGATGTCATCGGCGGGGGGTGAATTTAGAACAGGAAGTTCCCAAAACAAAAAGTGCTCTTCTTGAGACATCAAGGTCGTAAAGTATTCGCCACAGGATCACAACATGCTTTTTGACCTTCTAATGCTGCTTGGAAAAAAAACACATGAAGTCTGTTCTTGAGCACTTTTCTTCTGCAATTCACTTCATGTGACTATCTTTTTTTTTGTTGAATGCTAACAATTGTGACTTTTCCCTTCTTCAAGGAAAATATTTTTTCTTCTACAAGGCCCTCATCTGCTCTCATATGCGTTTCTGTCAAGTCTACTTTTTTTTTTCTTTACTTAATTATGGCAAATTCACTTCATGTTTTGGTTCCTAAAACACACCTGCCATCCATTTTCTCCCTTCGCCAACATAAACATTGACGGATACTACATTTAAACCCACGCAGCCGCTCGCTCCGCAATTCTGCCCTTCATCTGATAGCGGACCCCCAAACTGAGCTCCACCCTCGTGTTTACCTTCACAGTGTAACTTTTTTTTCCAGCGGGGGTTACTTAAAACCCCCCTTTTAAAGCCCCTCCTTAATAACCTCCATACCCTCGCCTTCCATCCCAAACTCCCAATCCTGTAATTGCCTGCCCCGACACACACACACACACACACACACACACACACACACACACACACACACACACACACACACCAGGATACAGAGAGGTTTGTATACCATGTT